CTAGTAGCGTCCTTGCTCCTAGTACTAAGGCCAGGAGCCCCTAGTAGTATATATGCTGCCCCAGATCTCCGCCCCCAGCACCCCCTGTTGAATGCAGAATATATCCAGTCCCAGCTGGCGGTCGTGTCTGCGATTGGAGGAGTTCCAGAATTGATTCCAGCCTGGTTCGACAAAGATAGACCACGAGATGTCCAATGTCTTCACACAAATCTGCTTTCAAACCATCAAGGAGGAGAACAATACAAAAGTTGTGTCAAACCTGCAAAAAACAGTTGAACGAAAACAGATGAACATACGTGGCTATTTTCCTTTCACCTTCCATGTTTGCTGACTTCCTTCCTTTCCCTTCCTTTCCCCTCCTTTCCCGTCCTGCCCCTCCCTTGTGCACAGAAATCCCAACTTGGCCCAACTGCCATGCAACCAATAGGAATTGATCTTTTTCTCAAGATGCCCATCTATGCCTATTAAGGTGGTGCCAGGGGAGGTTGGCATCGAACGCCCAATCCCATGGAGTCCGGATCTATGACCTCCTCTCCACAGCTCCTCTGCTGCGCACCGAAACGCTCCGCCTGTGGGAAAGCCGAGCGCACGCACCGTCTCCTGGCCCGAACAGCGAGACGGACGCGGTGTGGGAAGACCTGGGAGCCCATCGCCCGGTGGAATCTCGACGTAGCACGCATGCTGAAAGAAGCGGCAGGTCAATGACCCTCATTTGACCTGGCAGTTGCTGATACAAAAGCACCACTCAAGCAAGCAAACGACCTGGTTTTACTGGGTCGTTGGACTTGTAGGGATCGGTTGTCGTGCACTTCTCCCCCCCAAAGACGGAGCACACGAGCAGCTTGTGCACACTTAAGCGGCCTTAAGAATCCGAAGTCGGGCCCTGAAGAAGGCAGGGGTCTGGACCCACTTCCCAAAACCCTATGATGGTTTTGGCGTGTCCGGAATCCTTAGGGTGGAAAGAACAGGTGCACTTTCTGTTTTCCTCAAGCAATCCCGTCCGAAGTCCAGTTCGACGAGATCTTTGACCGACTGAAGTAAAGGAAAGTCCTAGACTCGGATCACCGTTCGTCGGACCGATAGTCGACCTTGACTCCCAGGGCAACTGCCCAGACGCTCCTGGAAGATTCGGACCCGAACCAATCCCTATGGTTTTGAGGGACCAGTCGGGCTGTGAACGGAGCGTCTGGGTGTGCCACTTGTTGAATTTGTTCAACCCCAAGGATCCGCACCGATGGCCAAAACAAGGGTTTGGGTACAGGGGCCCCAGTCACCCCGTAGTTCACAGCAGGGTTGGATCCCTTCAGACTGGAGGGTCCACGGATCCTATAGGGAAGGTGGATGACGTCAGGGTCCATCACGTCCATTGCGCTTCGGCGCGTGACGGAGCATCCCGGCCTGCACAGTGTGCCCGTGACGGGGCGGCACATCAACGGCCAGACACGACTGCCACTGGGACCGCCTACCTGGAACCCATTTGACCTCTGTTTTGAGACGAGAAGACCATAGTTTAGGGTGGTTGGTGGTACAAAATAGAGGTCATGACCAGGTTCCAGGTACATTGACCCCCAAAACAACCACCCCCAATGGATCGGTAGTCCTATGCCAGTCCCAAACAGGTCGTGTCTGGGACAGCTTCAAGGAGAAGGACCTGTATACCAGGATCATGCTGTCAGGGTGTCCTGGCTACCCTACCTAACAGGTCTCCCAAGCTCGCACCCAGACAGGGCACCGTGTTCGTGGCTAGCTAAGTCACAAATGGGTTTTGGTCCGGCTGTCAAACAATCGCATTTGTACCAGGACCTTCCAACAGGTCACCACCTGCGACTTTGAAGTCGGTCGCCTCCAGCCATCGGAGACCGGTTGGTTTCGGTGCGGGTAATGACTGTTTTGATGTTCCCAGACGCTCCCGAATCCTCATATGCAGGGGTCGGACCCTCATATGGAGGGGTCCGGACCTTCTCACCAATCCCTATGGTTTGGTTCGGGCCCAGTCGGCCTGTTTTCACGGAGCGTCTGGGTTGTTAAGGAGAACGTGGGTCTCTTGATCCGGTCTCACCTCACTCGTCCACCGGCCATTGCACCAGCGCGGATTCGGCGCCGGCGCGGACCCTTCCGCCTGCAGGGCCGGCAGTGCTTCTGCCAGCTCTACTGGTGGGGCATCCGCTACGGCGGCCTATCCGACACAACGAGGTCCGACTCTGAAGGCTCCAGACGCTCAGAATTCCAAGGTCCGGGCCACTGAAACACCGCCAGCAAAACGGAGCCCCGACTTCACTGAACCATCGGCGGATCCGGTGGACGCCACGTGGTCCGTTCGAATGGGCGGCACGAGCGGAAGGGTGGAACGAGCGGCTCGGTCGGCTCCGCGTCGGCTCGTCGCGTCACTTCCCAGGACGGAGCCGGAAACGGAAACGACGAAATTCGTCGGATCTTCCCAGTGACCTCTTCAGAATTGATAAGTGACCTTTTCAAGGCCTAAGTGACCTCATTCTGAGATCTCAAAAGGTCACTGGGAAGGTCCTGGTGGTCGGATCTTCATAGCCCATGACACGACTATATAATGGGACTGGCAGTCCGGACTGCCGATCAATTGACCCCTCAAACCACCACCGCAACTGATCGGAATATATATGGCAGTCCCATGGAGCGTCTGGGATAGTAAAACGATGTAAATTCAGTTGTTCGGAAAGAAGCAGTACAGCACTAAACTTTAGTTCAGTTCAGAAAGAACCAATCCCAGACACTCCATGGGACTGCTATATGACATTGACCCCTTTTCAACCACCCCTGGCCTGATCGGCAGTCCTATGGCAGTCCCATTAGTCGTGTCTGGGAATTATTAAACTGGTGGGAGACCGGAATCCGGTTTCTAAAGAGGCGAGCCCGACGCCAGGTGTCGACCAAATGACCCATCACATGTCGAAGGGGTTCGTCGGGTGGGTTGTTTCACCACCGGGATATCATGACAAACAGGAAGTTCTGCGTCAGGTGAGAGATCTCAAGCTGTGTAGCCTTAGCTTAACCTAATAGCGATGGCTTCCAAGCTACTAGAGATGGCCTCCAACCTACTAGCGATGGCCTCCAATCTACCAGCAATGGCCTCCAGCCAAATAGCCTTAGCTTTACACAATGAGTTTTGGTATTGACAAGACACACAAAAGCCTAGGCGCCACTGCCAAGTGACTCTTTTTTGTCTTTCTGGTGTATGGCATTTGGAAGGATGCAAGGATCGATACACCATCTGGGCAACATGGCCACATCTGCATAGCAGGAGTCACGTACGACAGGGTGGTGTTTAGTCCCATCCAGTGAGTGGATGTGACAGGGGCACCCCTATCTTGTGACTGCTGATACTGAGACATATTGCCCTAAGGATCCGTGAACCCTCCAGTCTGAAGGGATCGAACCCTGCTGTTCACAAGGGTTTGGGGCCCCGAACCAAACCCTGGTTTTGGCCATCGGGTGCGGATCCTATCCGGGTGGAGGAAAACCTAAGACCCCAAGGTCCATCGGATCGGACCAAAAAGGACGCTCGGATTACATCAGCGTCGCACCGACAAAGAGCGCTTGGATCGGTCAGCGTCGCACCTGGGACGTGCTCTCCTCCGTCCTTCGGTGTCCCTCCGAACGGTCCCGCCCGTACGACGCGTCGCGGTCGCGGTCGCACCTGGCGCCCGGTCCGGTCCGGTCCGGTCCGACCGAAGCGGCCCCGGCTAACCACCCCGCCGGTGGAACTCGTCCGGTCTCGGGCGTCCGGGCCCAGAAGTCTTGTTCGACGGACTCTTCGATCTTCACCAAGGCCAAATCCACGTCGGGACCGTAGGTTTGCACCTGACCGCTCGACTCGTCGGTCTCCGCGCGTGGCATGGAACGGATGCGTTCGGTGGGTCCGGCGCAGCACGTGAAGTTCGAGAGGTGGGTCGGGCCGGTCGGAAGGTGGTCGGGTTTCATCATCCAACCGAGATCTGTCAGCTTGGAGTGATAACAAATGGATCGTATGGATCGTTGCTTTAGTTGCTTTTGGGGTGAAATAGGGTGAAGTATGTTTGCCTGTTTATGCACCAATGGTGTGGGCCATTGTAACTCTTCGAGCTCTTTCTCCGCCAGCCGAGTTTGGAACGGGCAAAGCTACCGCGCTGCAAGCAAAAACAAACTCAAATTTCTGAAACAAAATGAACTACAAATAACTACAAGCATCCAACCTCGCCAAACATGCTATCATCTCCATCAAAATCCAGAATTGTCAAACTGGTCATGGAGTCCGGAACTGCTAAATCAATCACAGCAAAGGCTTCTCTTCCAATCTGAGAAACGCCGTCTGGAAGAAGCAAAGTGGTCAAAAGACTGCAGCCATGGAAGGCTTGGTCTCCAATCTCAATCACAGAGTCTGGAATTGTCAAGCTGGTCAAAGAGCTGCAGCCACAAAAAGTCCTGTCTCCAATCCGAGTCACAGAATCCGGAATTGTCAAATGAGTCAGAGAGCTGCAGCCACGAAAGGTTCCATGTCCAATCTGAGACACAGAGTCCGGAATTGTCAAACTCGTCAAAGAACTGCAGCCACGAAAGGTTCCATGTCCAATCTGAGATACAGAGTCCGGAATTGTCAAACTCGTCAAAGAGCTGCAGTCACGGAAGGCTATGTGTCCAATCTGAGTTACAGAATCTGGAATTGTCAAACTCGTCAAGGATCTGCAGCCAAAAAAGACTCCGTGCCCAATCTGGGTTGCTGAGTCCGGAATGGTTAAACTGGTCAAAGAGCTGCAGCCACAGAAAGCCCGCTCTCCAATCCCAAGCAAAGACTCCGGAATTGTCAAAACGGTCAAAGAGCTGCAGCCATGCAAGATTTTGCTGGGGATCTGAATTACAGAGTCAGGAATTGTCAAACTGGTCAAAGAATCGCAGCCATAGAAGGCTGCACCTCCAATCTTGTTGACAGAGTCCGCAATCGTCAAGCTGGTCAAAGAATCGCAGCGGTAGAAGGCCTGGTCTCCAATCTCAGTCACAGAGTCTGGAATTGTCATACTGGTCAGACATCTGCAGCCATAGAAGGCCTGGTATCCAATCTCAGTCACAGAGTCCGGAAGTGTCAAGCTGGTCAGTGATCTGCAAGAAAAAAAGGCACGGTCTTCGATCTTAGTCACAGAGTCTCGAATTGTAAAGCTGGTCAAAGAACTGCAACCACACACAACCCGGTGTCCAAGTTGAGTAACTGAGTCCGGAATTGTCAAACTGGTCAAAGAGCTGCAGCCACGAAAGGCTTCGCGTCCAATCTGGGTCACAGAGTCCGGAATGGTCAAACTGGTCAAAGAAATGCAGCCACAAAAAGTCCTGTCTCCAATCCGAGTCACAGAATCCGGAATTGTCAAATGAGTCAGAGAGCTGCAGCCACGAGAGGCATCATCGCCAATCTGAGTCACAGAGTCCGGAATCGTCAATCTCGTCAAAGAACTGCAGCCACTAAAGGCTGCGCGTCCAATCTTGGTCACTGAGTCCGGAATGGTCAAACAGGTCAGTGATCTGCAGTCAAGAAAGGCATGGTCTTCAATCTCAGTCACAGAGTCTCGAATTGTAAAGCTGGTCAAAGAACTGCA